ATGTTTAATGCTACTTAGAAGATTCTTTTAACGAGATTATTGAGTTTCTTTAAGGGACAAATAAGTCCAAACATATAATAGAGATATTTAATAGGTTAAAAGAAGTATTACAATAAAACTAAAATAAGAGAAGTATAATATCGTAAATTTTAAGAGACGAGTGTTATAATTAAGTCAAATTCGAACCATTTTAAAAAGCCAAATTCAAAGATAAGTGTATGAAATTATCCCCTTTTTCATTCATATTAGCTCTACATTTTATGCATTTATCTTAGAGAATAACATAATTTTAGTGAAAGCAAACTTTAAGCTCATCCTTGCACCAATGAGTAAACCTTTGTTTTATTTATCTACTATAAAATATATATATTCCTTCATTTTTTTCTTTTTTTCCTGTTAAATCTATTATTTTATTTTTTATTATCATATCATAACTCTATAAAAGAACGCATTCAAATGGATACTAAATTCATATATTTTTTCAATTATAACAACTCTAACATAAAAAAAAAATAGGTATAATAGATGGTGCTAAAGGATTTTTTTTGTTTTTTTGTTGTTGATAAAATCAATATCCCATGAATTTAACTCAAAATTACAAATATAAGTATTTGAATTTGTAATATAATTTATTTGGATTTGAAGATCGAAAAAATCATTAAAAACATTAATAATATTATAATTTTATTTAAGAAAACAAAACAATATTAAAAGTATTTCATAAATTTAATATTTTTTTATACCGCGCATAGCGCGACTTAGTTTCCTAGTATTTATATAAAAGAGAACCCTAGGCCCGCCTACGTGGCGCCATCACAAATCATAATTCCCTTTTAATTTATTTATTTCCATAACTAGCCTTCCCCTTTCATGAAAAGTTGTGACTTTTATGAAAAATTGTGACTTCTATGAAAAATTGTGACTTTTATGAAGAGTTGCGACTTTTATGAAAAATTATGACTTTTTATGAAAGGTTGTGACCTTTCCGAAAAAATTGTAACTTTTCCAAAGAGTTGTGACCTTTTCGATAAGGCACAATAAGGATTTGTTCACACTACTCTTTGTTGTCTATAAATAGAGAAAATTTCTGCCACTATTATTTGTAGGTTTTTTTCCACTGTAAGGTAGTCGAATTCAAATACATTAATTAAGCTTTTTATGAAGTTTGTTTCATTCCTCAAAGTTTTCTTCATCCTCTTTCATGGAGCTTAATCTTTACTATAAGTCATAGGGATTCATGCAACTATGACAATTTCTTTTTGCTATTTTGGTGACTTTTTTTTAACTCTGTTAAAAATTTCAACAAGAATGATTGAAAATTGATCTTCTCTTTTGTCTCTTTCTACATGTTTCTTCATATAAACAAAGAAATTTGATTTCAATTACAAAGCGACATTACTACTCTTGCACCTCTCAGACTCATAACGTTGCTGAAATGGTTGAATTCATTACATTTGGTTCTTTAGTAAACCAAACTTTTATTTATGTCACTATTATTTGTAGGTTTTTTTTTTGCTATAGGGGAGTTGAATTCAAATACATTAATTAAGCTTTTTATGAAGTTTGTTTCATTCCTCAAAGTTTTCTTCCTCCTATTTCATGAAACTTAATCTTTTACTGTAAGTCATACTGATTCATGTATTTATTACAATAACTTTTTGTTGTTTTTGTGACTTTTTTTGAACTCGGTTAAAAATTCAGTGAGGACGTTTGAAAATTTATCTTCTATTTTGTTCCTTTTTACAGGTTTCTTCATATACTTTTTGGGAAAATTGCTCGTGGGTTGTGCTATATTTTATAGCACACAACAACAAATATGTGATAACTAATACGAAATCAATGATGAAGTTTGTTAAAAGAACCAAAAGGATTGCTCTCTTCTAAGGTAGAAACATTTTATATGTCATTGCACTCTTCCTAGAATATTAGTATAGAGACAATTAGTACGCTTATTTTTAACACAAGTTAACTAATTAGTCATATTTCTTCGTCTCTTATTTTTGTGCATAATAAGAGATCAAGTTTTCTTCAACCTAACAAATGTCCAAAATACACTATAACAAAAATATTTTTTATCGGCAGTAAATATGCACATTAACGAAGAGTGCTAGAGCCTTTACCGACATTAATTAATTCTCATTAGATTCAATGTTGCTATAGACTTTAGGGACATTTATAGAGAGTACCAATTGCCTCTGAAAATACATATTTAGCGACAATTAAACTATTAATTTTCGTTAAAGATCATTTTTGCTTTAGTGATAACTCTTTCTTTTGATATAGTTTTTTGGTTTTTTTTAATAAAGAAGTAATAACTCTTTCTTTTGACTTCTTTCAATTAAATTTGTGAACTCTAAACTTGGATACAACTTTTAAAAAATATGTTAAGCAACATGCCTTTTTCTTCTTGATTGTTAGGAAAGTAAGATTGTTATTATTATTATTTGTGGATATTTGTGAGTTCAAGTGCTCACAAAATCATGCTCTGAGATTTTAATATGTTTATGTGTCAAATTAAAATTTTGGTTTAGAATATCCAGTTGTGAACAGTTCCATTCAGATGTCACCTACTACTTGGTTGATAATTGCATTAATTCTTTGTAACTGCATACTATAACCATAACAATAAATATGGTTCAATTCAAAATAAGTTGGGGCCGGTGATATGAAACCTAAGCAATAGTAATGACTATTCTGAGACAATGAGGAAAACTAATTTGTGATGCTAACAATTTTAGGGTCATTTTAAACATTTACATGATACGGCATACTATAATAAAAGAGAGATTGATGGAGGTTCATAAGAAAAGAGCCAAAGGTCCTTTATTTGAATTTCGTTAATTATGCCTTTTTTGTCTCTTCTATAACTCTGATGTTGTTCTGTATAACTTTTTGGAATTTAGAAAATTTGATTACTTCTGACCAACTATTTGCATGGAGATTTTCTTATACTTTTTTTTTATACTTCTCTATGACTCATAATTTTTATATAACAAAGACGAAAATTAAAAAAAATATAGCACTTTAAGATTTCGGGACTGCTTTACCTTAAGACAAACTGTTCTTGAAAATGTAGTGTATGTATCGAAAATACGAATATTACTGAATGATCATATCTAAGCTTAATAAAATAGTTCAATCCTGTGCGAAGCACGGGTAATTTACCTAGTAAACATAATAAATCTGAGAAAGTATTACTACATATATACAAAAGGGTTTATTATACAATCATAAAATAGAAAACTCAATAATTACTGTTTATACATATGCTTTAACTTCTTCAGATCCATCCGATTCCACTAAGCCAGGACAATGTCTTCAGGTGATTTTGACTGATCACTGGTAGAATCAATTACTTTTGCTTTCCTCTTCTTTGTTGAACTAGATTCGTCTTTTGTATTTGACTTTGTGATAATTTCATTCATTCTAATTGGGTCATTTTCAAACTTGAATCTGAAAAATTGAAAAAAAATAGATAAAAAAAATCGATTTAGATAGGTTTTAGCAGTACCTGAAACGTTTGAAGTCGCGATTGAGAGCGTAGTGGTGAAGATTTGAAATTCAAATTAATTTTGTGGAGAGAATTTAGGAGAAATTGAAGGGTATGGGAGAGAGGAAGGAGATGAAGTGAATTGTATAAAAGGAATAACTTCCGTTATTTACTTATACAAATTCGTGGGATCCGTCAGTAGCAAGATATGTGAAACTGTAGCTATTCAAAGGAAATAAATGAAGCAATAGCTGTATTATTTATTTTAAATTAATAGTTTGTCATTATGCACAATTTTCCCTTATTTCAACCCAATTTTTTTTTTCTCTTGTTGGTACCTGCATTGGAGACCGACCAATTTGGATTTGTGACGTGTAGGAAATTGATCAATTTGAATTTGTGTTGTATAGAATTCTATTTGAGGAGAAACGTTTCCTATCATTCGAATTATATACTATACAGCTTAAAGCATATTCCGATCTTATGCATTGCAAATATACAATCTAAACTTATGCCTTGCGAATTATATACTATACAACTTATGAAAAAATCTCAAACACCATACAATCAAGAGTCTCCAGAAGACAAGTACTAGTGATGCAAAATGTTCCAATCTTTCCCCTGAAAATTGAATAGGAAATTTTATGCCAATAAATTATTTGAAGAGAATGAGTAGTTATCTTATTCAAGAACCACACTACTTAACAACTTCCATTATACTATGTAATGAAGAGTACTACATTCCAGGATTAAGTGATAAACGTGCAAAACAAACGAAACATTTGAATAATTTGTGATATATTGCAATAGACTAACTTTACAGAGGTATGTGAGAAATAAAAGAAACAAGGAATGTAGGAGATTAACAATTTAAGAAGAAGCTTACATGGAAATGTTGGTTCAATAAGCAGAATAGAGAATCGTTGAACCTAATGGACAGACACGCCTCAAACAGGTCGACCCGTTGAAGTACTCCTTCTCAAAGGAGACTGCTACAATAGCATCCCTGTTAAACAGTACAACATTTTCATGAGAATAATACATTGTGCTTGAGCATATTTCTACCCAAGTTTAACACTTTGCTGGTACGAGAATGTTATATTTATATCGAAATAAATGACAACAAAGAATATTGTATAATCAATACTTACTTTTCGAGTATGTAGCTGACCTTCCTAGAATTATTATTTTTTGCATAATGAGTTGTTAGTTTTAGGATGATTTGAATTTCAATTTTTTATTAGGTTTTGTTTAGATATATTATTAGCTATTTTGAATTTCCAATTATATATGCAGATTTTTGTTTTAACTTGGCTACTAAAAGATGACCTATGCTTAATAAAAATATAAAGAGACATTACTTTAAACCTTTTTGCTTCACATCTTTTAAAAACAAACAAATAGTTTCACTTCATAAACGTTCGTAGCAATTGTGTCATGAGAAAAAAGGAGTGGAAAAAAAGTATTTCTAACAACTCCTCCGAAAATTGGTTTCCAACAAAAAGAAAGATAGAAACAAGTAGATTACAAAGTGCCTATAAATTATAAATGAAAATTTACCTAACGTAATTGCCTGCTGCTCATACGATTTGGCTTGATTTACCACAGAGACGTTTTGAACCAGCTACCTATAAGGAAAAGAAACATAATTTTTAGAATAACAGCAATTCAGTTCAAGTGGACAAGCAGAATCCAGCATAGCAACAGATGCAATTGATTTAATCTAACTTTTTTTTTTTTATGTCAAAATAATTTCAAGAAAAATTATTACATTACTTACCAAACTTCTTTTTTGGAACTCGTGGAAAATAATATTCTAATTAAAAATGCGAGCGACTCAGTAAGTGAAAGAGAAACCGAGACTTACGGTTGTCCTTCTCCGCCCACCTAATTCAATATTTGAAATATGGGAAATTTTGGACCACTGGGAGTAGTTGGTGAAACTTTCTTCTAACTTTGGGCAGCCTTTAATTTTCAGGCTCTGTAATTTCGTGAGGTGTCGCATGGCATTTCGGGATGGCAGATGCTCTAGTTTTTCGCAGTCATGTAAATATAATTCTTCCAAAGAAACAAGGTTGCCGAGCCCATCCGACAGAGCTTCTAACAATGGACAATCGCGGATGTCCACAAACCGTAATTTGGGCATGGCATCTGAGAAGTCCAGATGTTGTAGCCGTTTGCACCTCACTAGATGTAATGTTTCAAGAGAAATAAGGTTGTCAAGCCTATGAGGAAGAGCCTCGATTCCGAAATCACATATATGGATATGTATTAGGGAAGAGAGTTGCATAAACTGATACGGCACAGAATTCCAGTAAACTTTTTTTTAAGGAAGGTAATGTTGTATTCATCAGCATAGACCTCCGAAAATTGGTTTCCAACAAAAAGAAAGATAGAAACAAGTAGATTACAAAGTGCCTATAAATTATAAATGAAAATTTACCTAACGTAATTGCCTGCTGCTCATACGATTTGGCTTGATTTACCACAGAGACGTTTTGAACCAGCTACCTATAAGGAAAAGAAACATAATTTTTAGAATAACAGCAATTCAGTTCAAGTGGACAAGCAGAATCCAGCATAGCAACAGATGCAATTGATTTAATCTAACTTTTTTTTTTTTATGTCAAAATAATTTCAAGAAAAATTATTACATTACTTACCAAACTTCTTTTTTGGAACTCGTGGAAAATAATATTCTAATTAAAAATGCGAGCGACTCAGTAAGTGAAAGAGAAACCGAGACTTACGGTTGTCCTTCTCCGCCCACCTAATTCAATATTTGAAATATGGGAAATTTTGGACCACTGGGAGTAGTTGGTGAAACTTTCTTCTAACTTTGGGCAGCCTTTAATTTTCAGGCTCTGTAATTTCGTGAGGTGTCGCATGGCATTTCGGGATGGCAGATGCTCTAGTTTTTCGCAGTCATGTAAATATAATTCTTCCAAAGAAACAAGGTTGCCGAGCCCATCCGACAGAGCTTCTAACAATGGACAATCGCGGATGTCCACAAACCGTAATTTGGGCATGGCATCTGAGAAGTCCAGATGTTGTAGCTGTTTGCACCTCACTAGATGTAATGTTTCAAGAGAAATAAGGTTGTCAAGCCTATGAGGAAGAGCCTCGATTCCGAAATCACATATATGGATATGTATTAGGGAAGAGAGTTGCATAAACTGATACGGCACAGAATTCCAGTGCCCAAGTCCGGTCACCGCCAGATTACGAAGGGACAGCAGCTGCTGAATGCCATTAAAAATCAATTGGAATGCTTCAAAATCCACTATCTCTGGGAAAGGACCAATTTCCAATACCCTTAACCTGGTGAGACGGTGAAGGCCCCCTGCGGGTATACTAATGAATTTGGGACAATCTGATAAACCCAAATAAAAAAGTGAAGGCATTTCCCACACATGTAAAGGCAAGGAAACTAAATTGTTACAGCAGCTGACCATCAAAAATCCCAGAGACCGACAATGCTCTAGCATTCCACTTGGTAAACTGGCCAATCCATCACAATCCCATAACTCAAGAGTTTGGAGAGAAGTCAAATAATTCTCTCCACTGGGAATAGGAAAAGAACTGAAATTGGGGCAGAAGTGTATTTGTAAGCTCCTGAGAGAATGGAGATTGTACAAGCTTTGTGGCAAGTTACGAAACTCTCTGCAGCCTGAGACCGTTAGGTTTTGAAGAGAAACGTTGTTGCGAAGCATCTCATCTGGCAAACAAGTGAGCTCTTTCACACCATAGATACTAAGCTTTACGAGAGATGTCAAGTTGCTGCACAAGTTCAACAATGGCATTTCACTGTCAACTCCTTCAATACTTAATTTATGGAGGATTTCAAATTGACTTGGAGTACTTTTTAACAATGGACAGTTACTAATGCTCAACTTCTCAAGCTCTGGAAACAATCTTACCCCAATTTCATCTCCCTTCCACTCAATAAGACTAGACATATCCTCCAATATTAGTTTTTCAGTGACGGGAACACTTGGATATTGCTGCTTGATCCCTTATTGTTACCGTCAATACCATAAAATCTAGGCCCGATGCTTTCCACCTCCTGGAATCCTAACAGCTCAAGATGCCGAAGCAATTTCAGTCGACCAAGTGATGGAATTTCTTTGCATCTTTTGCAACCACTTAATTTCAACTTGACCAAATTTGGTAGCAAATTTTCACAGAACCATGAAGGAAATTTAGTCCCTAAATAGTCCACTACTGCTAAGGTTTTCAAGTTAGGATGAGGTTGAAGACCATCCAAGACATACTCATCATTGGTCTCACTTCCTTCTGGTTCGTCATGGAACCACACATATGCCAGCTTGTAGATATTCGATTTCTCTTGCAAATGTGTTGTTTGAGCTTCTTCTCTATCACCTACCAATTGTAGACACAATTATTGATGCCTTAAAGTCCAATTTGAAAGGTGTCACTGTCCTCACTTCTGCAGTAGAGAACAAGGAGGATGAAATATTGGGTGAGAATAATTCCAACCAACCTTGTGAGAATTCTGTTTCGAGTGGACAGAAAAATAAAGATGATAATTTGTGTGAGCGTATCACATCCCTTGAACTATCAATGATGGAAGTTGTTGCTTTCATACGAGATGAGAAATTGAGGAGAGCTTAAAAGAACAAGAAAAATGAAGGTAGACTAATTTATATACTATTTGTGTGAAATAATTTATTTGTAAGAATGCTAAGCCACTGATCTTGCAGCAGTTGATGAACACTACAGCAGTAATGATGTTGCAGTTGATGTTGGTGAAATCCTTCTATTAGCAATAGTCGATGAAGATCTTGTTGCAGTTGATGAATACTTTGCAAAAGAAGTTAATGAACAAGAGGAGGAGAAGATGGCATAAAAAGATAAAGAAAGAGAAGGAGAAAATGGAAGAGAACGAAAAAGAAATTGAAGAGAAGTTGGAAGGAAGAAACAAGAAGAAAAAAAAGAGGAGCATATCGAAGAGAACAAAGAAGAAAAAAAAGAAGAGGAGCAGATCAAAGAGAAGGAAGAAGAACAAAAAGAAGAGGAGAAGATCGAAGAGAACAAAGAACAAGAAAAAAAGAGGAGCAGATCGAATTGCAGGAAGAAGAAAAAGAACAGGAGAAGCTGGAAGAGAAAGTAGATGAAGGCGGTGATAAAAATTCCGTAGACGTGATGTGTATTGTTATGAAGCTCAATAGTGAGCTAAATGGTGATGAGTAAGGTATTTGTGATATTGGTTTATTAAGACAATTGGTTTTTGAAGTTGGTTTAAGACAATTGGTTTTTGAAATGGTTGGT